AGATAAAAGCCCAAAAATACACACACACATTTTGAAAACTTACGGCAGGAGTCATAAGCTGGATGTTGCTTTCTAATGTATGGTACAACAGATTGGAATAAAAATATCACCATGCCAGCTTGTAGCATATGGTTGTTTGTAGGCCAGATTATCAGAAACAGAACTATGTTTTGCCCAGGAAATGGAACAAACAATCTGGGAGAACTTTGAAGCACAATTTTCTACAAATTCCCAATGGCCCCGTCAACATAGCTCTCTGATTGCTTTTTCTTTTAGAAGAAGGAGACTGAGAGAGGAGCCATTTTTCTCCCACCAGATCATCTCTTGGCAATTTTAGTTACCACTATGTTTCACCTTTTAGTGCATATTAAGCTATTAATATATATTATACACGTATTAATATATAACTGTGTAATAGAATAATGCAATCCTAAGTTGCATTAACAGAGGGATACAATCGAGATCAAGTGAGACACTAATACCACTCTATAAAGCCTTACTAAGACCACACCTAGAGTACTGCATCCAGTTTTGTTCACCACATTACAAAAAGATGTTGAGACACTAGAAAAAGTACAGAGGAGCAACCAGGATGATTCGGGGACTGGAGACTAAAATATATGAAGAATGGTTACAGGAACTGGGCATGGCTAGTCTAGTGAAGAGAAGGAGGAGATATGATAACAGTCTTCCAATATTTGAGGGGCTGCCACAGAGAGGAAGGGGTCAAGCTATTTTCTAAAGCGCCTGTAGGCCAGACAAGGAATAATGGATGGAAACTGAACAAGGAGAGATTTAACCTGGAAATAAGGAGAAATTTTCTGACAGTGAGAGCAATCAACCAATGGAACACCTTGCCCTGAGAAGTTATGGGAGCGCCATCACTTGAGACTTTCAAGAAGAGATTGGACTCCCATCTGTCAGAAATGGTGTAGGGCCTCCCACTTGGGTCGGGGGTTGGACTACATGACCTACAAGGTCCCTTCCAACTCTGATGATCTGTTTATCTGTTATCTGTGATGCAGAAATGACTGTTAATTATCTTAAATAACAGATTTCAGATAGCTACTCCAGAAATATCATAATCATCCACTAAGAAATCATTAGTTTGGAGGGCTGGTAAACCTATTATTACAACATTTTTTCCTATTTTCTCCCCCCCAAAATTTGTATTTGTAGTTGTAGTTGAAAGAGAAGAATATTTGGGAAACTGTATTTTTGCACAAGTAACTCACCTATTACATGGTCCCTGATTACCTGAAATGTTTCAGGTGATATCTTCAGGTCATAAACAGTATACATGAAGGAATTTCTGGTTTTAGATCCTGCATCTAGTAATAGAATAAGGCCACACAATATGCTAAAATATATAGGCCTGCTGTATATTATCACCTGGTTGTGGCCCTAGAAAAGCAAGTTAATAGAAAAAGATATTTAATATCAGCCTAAAATTATTTTAAATGCATAACTAACTCTGCACAAACTCAATAAGTTTCAATGTTTACATACATATTGCATACCCCACAAAATGGATGTTAGAATCTCATTTCATCTGAAAATCCAAATAAGCCCTCTACATCAAAATTTCGATAGCCATCTATACAATGCATGTTATAATAGAACACTTAACCTACACTGATCAGAATTCACTGGTAAGTTTTAATCTTCTTTATTGGATTTGTAAGATTGTTTAATCATCAAATGATTCAGGACATTGTACAGAAGTAAAAGAATCAAATAGCAAGCAACCAAAATACAAATGTTAAAATAATCATTTATTAGTGGGTTCATAAAACCCCATGACCCAAGGTCTGCTAAATAAGATAGATCTTAACTGCTGAGAATCACAAATGTAGTGAGTGATATGTAGTGATCGAAAATAAAATCATCTCAGTGCATCTGTACTTCCTCAAACTCTGGAGATTCTTATGACATTATTCTTAGCAGCTCTTTTTAAATAGCCTTGCAATATCAGAAAAATGTTGGCTGCTTGAGGGAAGTGGTGGAAATGACCTAATTACCGGAAAGTTCAAAAGGCCAATAAGGAAAAACTACTATGGTGTGACTTTTCTCCTGGGTCTGACACTATGAAATCTATTTGTATTATGAAATAGTTGCTCTGTTTTCCAACATTCAGGAGATCTGCCTGTATTTTAATTTAAGCTTTGAAAGCCATATTAGCACCAGAAGCTTCCATGCTGCCACATTCTTGAGCCTGGGAAAATGGGAGGGGGAATTTCGTGGAGCGTATGTGGTTAGACATAATAGCATTCTTCTTTAAAGTCAAGGTCATTTTATTCCTGCACCTGGCTGAGGAGTGGTTGAGGGGATGTCTCAAGTTGGGACGGATGGCGATTGGGGCATGTGATGGAATAATTGGTGAAGGGGGTGGATTTGTAATTTTTTACTTTTTGGACGGAAACCCGGAACTTTCAGATTTGGGATTTCCCAGATGTGCCACTTTACTACTCTAATAAAAGGAGACTTTGAGAACATGTCTATCTCGGAGTTATTTATTGGACTTGAGGTTTTCTGGAACACTGACATTAAAATTGTATGGCTCTCACATGATTAACACAAACAAAACAAATTAAATATAGTTCTTCTATTACCTGAAAGCCTCCCTAACTAGACTTTAATGCTTAAGGCCATAAAGATGAAGAAAATCATTTCCTTGCAATTGTGTTTCCTTGTATTCGTGTCAGGTTACCCTTGTCAAAATTCCCTGACCAAGATTCATTTGTGAATTATAGGTCTGTTAACTCTGCATGGCTTAATTAGTTCCTGAGTTCAGCTCAACAGAAGATTCACAAATATGTTTTGGCTAGATTAGAATTTTTACTGTTGACAAGAATGAAATCATACACCACAGTTCCTACCAGTGAAAAGATTTAAATACCTTTTAAACCCCCACTAGGGGTTTAAAATTTAGGCTTCTTTTTTCTGTCCTAGTTTAATGGATTTTTGGCATGATGCTTAGCAGCTGTGAACTTCAGAGAATATTAGATGTTTACACAACGGCTTTAACCTTCACACTGATAGTTCTAATGAAATTCTGTGAAATATGGAATTCAGTAAAACACTTACCATGCCTACTTTAATAAAAATGTAAAATAAAATAGATTACATATGTACATATAAATTGACCTACCACTAACCATTCTGATGCTTTTAGTCTTTTTCCCACAAATCCAGGGCAAGACTGATGTTAACTATCTACAAAGTATTAATTGCCTTTGCCAAACATATTTTAGTCTAGAAATGAAGAAGAAGAGTAAAGTACAAATTAAATTTTAGAGAGCAACCTTTCAAATTGGGCACGATAGTCCAATCCAGTGGTGGGATTCAACTTTTTTTTAAACCACCTGTTCTGTGGGCGTGGCTTTGCGTGCACTCACATGCTTCATGCATGCCTGCACCAAACGTGTGCTTCACACGCGCTCAGAGGGTTTGATACTGACCTTCTCTTGCAATCCTGCACTCTCCCTGTGTGTTCAACAGCTGACTCATGGCAATCCACTGTGCCATGCAAAGCAGCTGAGCTTCAAAACCAGGAAATAAAGGTCAGAAAGAGCTGGGGTGGGCCCAGCAGCTGATTGTCGGAGCGAACCGGCTTGCTCACAGATGATCCTCGGAGCTACCGGTTCGAGCAAACCGGGCCGAACCGGTAGAATACCACCCCTGGTCCAATCCTTTCAGATTTCAAATGACTAGTCAAACCCATTTTCCCTTATAAAATATTTGGGGGAAGGCTAATCTTGGTAACCAAGATCCCTCCTTAGCTGGTTCAAACTTGGCTGAAATTTGACATGGTACGGCATGTCTACTATGAGATCTTCACTGTACCCCAGGACTGGAATTATTTTAAATCATTTATTGCCTTCTAACAATTAAGAGTATTGCCCATATACTAAAGCCTTTGAGGCTTAAACTCAGTGCCTTTTTCTCTGCCTTTTCCATAGTTTAACAGTAATTCTGCTTTATAATTCTTGAGTTCTGTGAGCTAGACAGTAATTGGGTTTTGACATTTTTAATATTCCTGTCCTGGGAAATTATAGCTCTCAATATATCTTCAATTGAAATCTATTTCTGCTTATAGGTTGCCGTTGTTCATTATGGAACTGATCCAATTTTAAAAGTATTGTGCTTTTGTTGAAGCAAACTAGCCTAAGAACAGACTGTGAGCTGAAATGCAAGGTGTAAATAATAAATTTTCGAGAAACCTAAAATAATCAGAAATAGAAGAACAATGCAAATGTTTTTGCATCAAAAATAAAACAGCAAAATTCATACTAAGGCATAAATTATATCATAACTGTTGGGACTATGAAGCCTCACTACAACAGAAGCCTAAACCTGTGTCTTTCTGTGGATTCAAATTTTGCAGTATTGCTAATTAATACAATACTGCATTATGTTTTCGGTAAAGGATGAGAAAAGACATAATTCAATAGACAGGCATATGCAGATTGAGTCCTCCAGCACTCTGCAGTCTGATTCAATATAAAATAAATTTATACTTTAATAATCACATAATATATCTATAAAACTGAGGATTCAGAGAGATGTATTCTAGTATCTCTGTATTTTGGGAGACATGAGATTGTGGCACTATAAGAAACATGACCAATTAAAATATCATTATATGATTAATGTCTGAAAGATGAGATTGAGAAAAGTAATTAAAATGCAGGTGAGATTTAAACCTACAGTCCTGTAACAATTTCTGTATTAAATATAAAATTGATTAGGCTGGGGAGGTTGTTTTAAGATTACATACATGTATATAGAATAGAACATAATTCTTTATTGGCCAAGTATGATTGAACACACAGGGGATTTATCTCCAGTGCATAAGCTCTCAGTTTACATGCAAGCAACAAGTGATAAATTATGATCATAATCATAAAATATAGATACAACAATCAGTGATAGTCATAAGATACTAAACAAAAGCAATCAACATAAATCATAAAATCTAAACAACAAAATGATAGTCATGAGATGCTGAAGGACTAGTTAATAGGAAAGATGAGAAGGATAATAGCAATGATACAGCCCTGTCGCATGGTTTGATATCCTAGGGCAGGGGTCTTCAAAGTTGACAGCTTTAAGACTTGTGGACTTCAACTCCCAGAATTCCTCCTCCAGTCATGTTAACACAGGAATTCTGAGAGTTGAAATCCACAAGTCTTAAAGTTGTCAAGTTTGAAGACCCTTGTCTTAGGGCATAAGACATTGTTGTGGAAATTAGTTGTTTAACAGAGTGATAGCATGGGGGAAAATTGTCTAATTGTTTTGGTGTGCAATAATATATTAAATTTATATATGCATTGGTACATATTTTAAATTATATTACATATAATTTATGTAATCGTATAAGCCATATATATGTATAAATTAGAAAAATCAATCAACTTGTAGAATAAATATGTAAATTAAAGGCCACTAACACCACACAATTATTTTTTACCACAGTACATTAACAGTGCAGTGCAAAAATGACCTTTTACATTTCTAGAAACCTGCATAATTGGCAGCAAAAGAGTGTGTGGTAATGTGTGATGTATGTGGTAATGATCTGAGAAAGTAACTGAAGCCACTATGCCAAAGACCCGGCTGCCTTGTTGTTTCACTCACACCAACAGGCTGTGGAAGGAGAGCACTTATTAAAATGCTATGCACAGCTCTGCTGTTTACTCTGTGGGAGCAATGTGCTTGAGCAGATAAATTTTTAATGATAAAGTATTAGGTTCCAAGATGGAAAAGTGAATAACATCCTGGAGAAATGAATTTATTTCGACTTTCAACAATTCACCACACCAACTGACCAAGGAACACAAATAATAAAAGCATATATGTGGTAACTGAAACTTACATGTATAGGTGAGGCAGGATCAGGCTGAACACTCTGAAGACAAAGCAAAATTCATTGTGTTAGCTATTGGATTTTACCACAAAAGTCCAAATAGAAATAAGGGGTTTCTCATCTATCTATCTGACTGTCTTTCTGTCTCTCTAATGTACAGCTTCCTGTGACAATACATCTCTAAGTAGTTGAAGTATAACCAAAAAATAAAATACATGATAAAAACAATACATTTAGACAATGTAAAACACATGTATAAAAGAATACATTACCTTTAGAAGAGAGTACTGACAGCTTGCCATGATAAGACAGAACAGGAGCACCCAAATGTCTTTACAAAAACCTTGGTTCATGATTAGAAAGCCAAGAAAAGAAACAAGGATTACTAGAAGAACTGCCAAAACATTCTCCTTGATATCTTCTGTCCTGTAAAAATAACACATTGATGTATTTTCAAAAGCAGAGTATAATAATAAATGTACCATTATAATCTACCATATAGACTTATAAATTGAAGCTGGATCAATTTGTCATAAATGTACTTCACTTTTTCAAGATGTCCCTATGAAGGCCCCATGGTCCCATGGGGTCAACTTTACCTGGTGTGCATGGCATTCTCTGTAGTCTTACTGGTAAGAAAAATATCTTCACACAAGCTAAAGATTGCCAAGTCAAAGCAACTAGCAGAAATTAACTGGCTTAATTATTTTCTTTGCAGAGATCAGAATATTTATCTCTGAAAAAAGACTACTTAATAAATGGACTTACTGACAATTTTTCTGTTACAAAACCAGTAAGTAAACTTAAATATTTAAAAAGTGCAATTTTGTAAAACTGATACAAAGGAGTCAACAGTGAAAACCAAAATTCTATCTATCATCTACAGTATCTATCTATCTATCTATCTATCTATCTATCTATCTATCTATCTAT